GATTCAGGATCCATAGGCATTGTGGGTGCACAGTCGATCGACACTGTATGTCGACCGCCGGTGCAGGGGAAGATTGTGAAGAAGCGCAGCGGAATAATGATGGTAAGTGGGGATCAGGATGACCGCATTAAGTGTGAGATCAATTCGATCGGTGGAGCGCGCTCGGGGATGTTCCCGTTGGCACGAACGATGGGATCAAACGACTTAGTGAAAGAAAACGACGGTTGAAATTATGCGGATTGGTCTACCTAACGGTCAAGAAGGGGTATAGTCAAGGATCGACGACTGACCGATTACGATCCGCAATCAAGGGCTTGGATCACCAAGTTACAAGGTCCGGATCACTGAAGGGGTGAACATCAACTGGAGTACTGAATCGCTAACAATAATGGAGAATAGAGGAATATGGAAGCAAGCTGGAGGAGTGGATCGTCAAGATCATCAAACATGCGAGGTCTCAGAAGTGACGGCGATTCGACGGTGGATGCCGCATAAGAGAATCGAGAGATTGATCACGATCCACCCCGAGTATTTAATGCTTGATTGTGTGGACACATAATTGTGTGGACACATAAAAATTAAGGATTACATACCGCGATCGTTTACCCAAATTATCCACCCCGGGCGATCCACCACCTAGCGATTCACTATGGAGCGATCCACCACCTAGCGATTCACTATGGAGCGATCCACTACCTAGCGATCCGCTACGAAGCGAGCCTCCACCCGAGTGTCTGCTGTGGACCAGATGATGCACGAGGTGAATTACATAGACAGGCGATACGCAACAGTGATCTAGCGAACAGATAGACATAGTCATAGGTTTTGGATTTGGTTGGTTGACATTAAACGGAATTGAATTTGCAACGAAAGACACGCGTCGAGTTCTCCCGGGCGGGAACTTTGGCCTCCCGTTGAATAAAGAGTGACCCGCGTCTCTGCAAGCTTTGCCCTTAGAGTTTTTGGCCAACCGGAACATCGATTCTCACTCCCCCCAACTTCTATCGGACGCAGGGATCCTTACGGTTCAGATTCAAGATCGCGAGACGGCTCAAGTGGTCAGAAGGCTCGCGGATCAAGCATCACGTTTGGATACAGGCGACTCTGGGAGAGCGCCCAAGTGTACTTGCTATAGAGTAAAGAATTTCCACTCGATCCACCCCACGTTTAAACGGGTGCAGAGTTTCCACCCGATCAACCCCTATCCCTAAAGCGGTCAACTTCAGCTTCAACTCAAGTCCACCAAGAAGAGTGTAACCCGCCCCACCGACGGGTACCCAAGGTGAGCAAGAAGATACAGAACACGAAATCGGGGTACCCCCTCCATTAGTCGGTCATCCGGGCGCCAGTGGAGAGTCGGGATCACGAGTAATATGTGATCACCACTCTACCACACTTTCGTGAATCCGTTGAGATAAGGTGTGTGATTTAGTAATGATTCTTGTGCGTTTTTACGGTTGCCACATAACGTCATCATACTACGCGACTTGTACCCTCAGACTCCGTCCCTGCGAAGTATTTACTAGCTGTCGCTGGTCTAGGGTCTGCAAATAGTTCTATTCTGCAGATTTGGCGGCCGCTTATGACTTTTGTCAGCAAATAAACGAACACATGTGTAGATTGCATGAAGAAGATGGCACTTTGCCTTTATCCAACTCACTGAAGCATCTTGACGCAGACGTCACTTTGGATGACTTACAGACATATCTTTGCGCGCACCAGATAATTGGTGTAAATTGCACATGTGTTTATTTTCCCGGTGCGCATCCGTTCCATATCTCCTGCTGTTTAATGGCTTAAAGCCGGTGACAATGTAGTAGGCCCTAATAAATGACGCCTAGAGCGACATGGCTAATATGATCAAGTCGAAGGTGCAACAGGTACGAGGTGATGTCCGAATGTAAAGTTTTCGGGATTTGCACATTTGCCTCGTCCGGTATGGGTGAGTTCACGCTTAACATATATAGGCTAAAAGTGCACCTAGAGGCGCTTGCACGCTCTTCACCTCTGCAAAGCAACTGTCGCTTCTTAACGTACAATATAAAGTGCCTTTATTTAAATGGCAATGTAGGAAGCAGGTAGCGTGTAATGTAGTCAATGAACAGATGACAGTAAACTCACCTTTCCTGTATACTTCTATGTCTTCATTGGCATTACGACTTTACCATTACCTACTTCTTGCATCTACGCCGTCGTCAGAATGATGCACATGTACTGAAGACCATTGATGTGCTAATTTGTGAACACATTCGAGTGAGTGGTGTGCTGCATCTCATTCGATTCATTTAGCTAAGCTTCACTCGACTTGATTTCATTTTTATAAGCCGACATCAAGTAGTCGTCGGTTCTTTTTTAGATCGAAGCGATGCTACCTTATTGTTTCCATATCGCCCCGCATTATAAAGTATACCGAAAAGACACTTCAAGCTATTGATGTCCTTCTCGCCACACAAATGTCATTGCCGATATATTCACAGGACTCCCTCTTTTGCGCTTGTTGTGACAGCTTTGTATGGATTCTTGACATTTTTATCTGTCAGGAGCTCCTTTGATGACGCCACCCTATTCTTTGCGCTGTATGTCTTCACACATTATCCAGGGAGTCACGAGTTCCCATAAACTTAGGGCAGCACGTGGCTATATTTCTGTAATTAGGGACTATGAATAATAGCTTAAGATTTTAAGAAGTGTGAATACAACGTGGCTGTTGCCGACCGGAGCGCTATCCGCCTTTCGCCAATCATCCATATACTTGTACTTGACGATTTTGCCAACAGATCGTCGCTATCGTCCATTGCTGGCGTGAAGAATTGTTGCAGAAGAAATAGCTTGTTTGCCAATCCCTTTATAGTTCCTTTCAGAGTGACGTAGGCCCTATACGCGCCATTTGTCGATCGAAATAGCGGTAGATGCGATTCTTCCAAAAAGACAGTATCCAGCGCATAATATATGTGTATAAGGTAGCGCTATAGCTTGAACTCTCTAATGCTTACCTTCCATAGATCGCGCTCCTTTAGCACCATGTGTACAGTGAACGTATATGTGTGGATTTCGGTCCCCCAATACCTATCGATGCGGGCGATGGGATTTTTAGCGGCGATTATGGTGAAGGCGTAATCTTGAGAAATGAAGCTTGGGCTCATACCCAAATGACTCAAATAAATTAGCACTGAACGGCAAGGTGACAAGTGAGTTGTAAAAGGTCCTTCATTCGTAATTTTTTTGCTAACATAAGCCTACTAAATGCAATCCGACAGCCAGTTATTAATAAATACGTTGCGCATTATTTTATCGCATGAGCCTGTTATTAATCGCCACATGGCGCATTGCTAGTCGCAATGTCGCGCATCTCGAATCGTCTGAGCGTACATTTTGGTGAGGCTTACCAGCCGAAACGTTCCTTCGACAACAAATTGCATAATGAGTAAGATATACATTATTTTAAAATGTACGTATGATTAGCGAATTTTAATCCAACATCGTTTACTTTGTGCCTAGCGACAGCGAGACGTCAGCAGAAGTCGCTGGTCAGTTTTTTGTCGTTGCCGGGTATTTGGCGACACATTTGCAATACTTTGATGTCGTTCATGCAAGATTACCAAAAATGGCCTTTTTGAGCTTGATAACGATTCAAGCGCACAAGTTTTTGAGCCAAGTTGACAGCGAAAAAACATCCGAGATACAGCGAATTGTTGAGTAAGGAGTTGCGCCATAGGTCGGCAGATAGTGTAGCGGACTGTAAGTACTGTAGTGAAGTCATCTGAGACACAGCATATGGCTTCTCGCTACCTATCCTAGTCACACTGGAATAAAGGCCGAGGCTTTGCAAAAGAGACGTCGACGAGACTAGCATAAGCTTGATACAAAGATCAATGGCGCGTTCGACTAACAAAACTAATTGTTTGCAGAATTTTGCATTTGTAATGATCATATGAATCGGAGCCATATAGCTAAGTCGTTGCAATGTGGAAGCACTCTACCATCTTTACACACGATGGCCTCATCGAGATCGAGTAGGTTTCATGCATGCATTGCAACCAACATTGCAGCTGTCTATGGCAAAGTTGTCGACAGAAAAGCGACGTGTTGTAGCACGATAGTTTTTGTCGACATCTTTGCCACAAACAGCTGCCATCATGGAATCGATGGGCGGAAAAAAGTGTTGCAATGTGAACTAGAAAAAAACAAAACGATGTGATAGTTGATAGACGGTCCTGAGGCGGAACTTCAGGCTGCGAGCATCAGAAGTTGTTTTCATCGTGGAATCGCCGACAATGGCTTGCTACAAGGTCTTGCTTTCGTCACATAAGTGTGACAACCAGTTCCGCAGTATTGTCCAGATCAACAAGCTGTTCTGCTTGCGATAGCGATGATGTGAAGTACCGTGGTCGCTTTTCGACGTCTGAGCTGAAGGTCGGGAAACCCTCGTTACAATTGGCGAAGTTGCTGTATGTACAGCATATACGCTGTCAGTGCAATTACTCATCTTTCTGATGAGATCGAAACGAGTTTTCGATGGACATCGACGGTGCTACATTCCAACAAAGCACTGCTTCATATGTGGGCTGTATGCTGGCGTGACGTAAAGCTATGGCGAATGTCACAAGCCGACGGTCGATCACAGCGTCATGCACGTGTATGGTAGAGAGACGAAGTAGAAAATTTGCCACCGTAGAGCATGGTAAGTCTCCGAATGCGTGAGTGGAATGAGAACTTCGATGGCATGTTCCTGAATCGTGGTTTCTGTCCAAAGTAGAAAACGGAAGGTGCTTATTCCGTATAAACAGGATACGAATCTGTCATTGAGACTGTCACCACGACACACTGACAAAGCCCGCAGACGTATTCCTGTAAGCAGGCGACCACAACAACGTACAAAGCAAAGACGTCTCATTTAACGACGATAGTAAACCGAGTCTAAAATCTGCACTCGCGAGCCTCGCCGCGCCAATGCCACAAGGCTGCTCACTACCGCGTAGATTTAGCTCGAGCCAAACGCCCTACAGGCGGTCGTAGAAACGGTCGAGAGGAGGCACTTCCGGCGTCAAACCCTTGCGCACACGCACGCCATTCACCAGCTTGCCCGCCATGTTGTTCGTGTCCGTCGGGTCACCGCCAACAACCTGGTAGTGGTCAAACACGCACTGCGGGAAGGCCTTGCCACCGGTCGCTTGACGCAAGTCCGCAGTGAATCCGAAGGACTCGTTGACAGGCAAGTAGGCCTTCAGCTGCATCATCGGCGTACCCGGGCGCTGCTCCTCCGCAAACACGTGTCCACGACGACGGGTGAGCACGCCGTAAACACCGCCAACAGCGTCTTGCGGCACTTGAATGTCTGCGAGGAAGACAGGCTCCATCAGAGCAGGTTCCGACACCAGCTGACAAGCGTAGACCACACGACGGGTAGTGGGCAGGATCTGGCCCATGCCACGGTGAATAGCATCGGCGTGCAGCACCACGTCGAGCAGGTTCACGCGCATACCGCGCACGACCTCTTCGCACAGAACACCGTCTTTCGTGGCCCAGTTGAAGCCGCCAAGCACCGACTCCTTGATTTCGTTCAGGTACGACACACCCTTCGTGACGTCGACAAACAGGTTGGCACCCGTACCGTCAGGTCCGTAGCCCCAAATCTTACGGGCGTCAGTCACGTCCCACTCGTGGTTGTCGGCCAGGTATCGCGCACGCAGTTTCTGGTCGAAGCGAGGGCTCACCTCATCCTTTCCATCCTCCATCTCCTGCGTCAGCTCGTCACTCAAAGGAGTGGCCTCGCAAAAGAGACGGTTGTGCTTGTTAGGCGACTTGGACAGACACGTCTTCGACGAGTTGCCAGTGATCGTCTCGCGGTAGGAAACGACCGGCTCCGAAATCTTCACCTCCGTGCCCATGAACTCCTCCTGCAAATCCTTCAGACAGATTTCAAGGTGAAGCTCGCCGGCACCAGCAATAATGTGCTCACCCGACTCCTCCGTGTAACACAGGACCATAGGGTCCGACTTGGACAAACGCTTCATGCCCTCCACGAGCTTGGGCAGATCGGCAGCGGTCTTGGGCTCAACAGCCACACGCACAACGGGTGACACTGAGAACTTCATCGTACGGATCGTGTGGCCCGTCTCCGACGTCGTAATCGTACCAGACTTCAGCAGGTACTGGTCAACACCGACCAGGGCGCACGTGTTACCGGCCGGAATGTCAGGGGTCTGCTCGACGTAACGACCCATCATAATGACCGTACGCTGAATGTTCTTTACCCACAAATCGGTCTTCTTGCCAGGAACGTAGTTCGGGCCCAGCATGCGCACTTTCTGGCCGGTGGCGATCTTACCGGCAAACACGCGGCCGAATGCGTAGAAACGACCCTTGTCCGAGGTCGGCACCATCTTCGACACGTACATCACCAGGGGACCGTTGACGTCGCACTTACGGATAGCCTCAGCGCACTCGTCGTCCTGAGGACCTTCGTACAGAGTGTCCACACGGTACCTCTGGGCCGTCACGGGGGACGGCAGGTGCACCACGATCATTTCGAGGACAGCGTCAGCAGCCGGCAACCAGCGCTGCATGACCCGCTTCAGCAAAGGCTTGCCCGTCAGCTCCTTCTCGTCCGACTTCAGCTCCACACCAACAGCTTTCATCATCTTCTCGTACTTCGCCTTCTTGTCGTTCATGATCGCGTCGAACATCTTGATGATGGGGTCCATGATAAACTGACAGAAAGCACGCTTGAGTGAGCCTTCTGCGTTGTTCTTGCTCGTCCACTTCTTGTTGGCAGCGTCAAAGTACCAGTCGCCCCACAATTTCTGCATCATCTTGTCTTCACCAATACCAAACTTCTTCGAGTACAGACGAGCAAACTTTTTCAGCGTGAAACCCCACTGGTGCAGACCCGATCCAAAGGCGACCGTGCCCTTTTCGGGGTACACCTGCACATCTCCCAGCTTCTCGTCAAAGTAGGTGGCAATCACCACGTTCACCGTCTCAATGGCCCGGGTGAACGACTGGTAGCAGTCCTCAGGCTCCAGGTGGAGCTCGAGCAGCGCACGGTCGACCTTGTTCACCATCAGAACAGGCTTCACGCGCTCGCTGATCGACTGACGGAGCACCGTCTCGGTCTGCACGCAGACGCCTTCAATGCAGTCGACAACAACCAGCGCACCGTCTGTCACACGCAGCGCCGCCGTCACTTCGGACGAAAAGTCGACGTGACCAGGCGAGTCGATCAAGTTGATCAGGTACGAGTTCTTTGAGATCGTCACGGCTTCGTCCGCAGCCTTTTCCTCGACCGTCTCTTTGGCGATCGCATCGGCCGTCGCCTGTTCACCCGCGTCCATGTCGTACTCGAAGAACATGGAAATACCCGTCGACTTGATGGTAATGCACCGCTCCTGCTCGTCGGCGCGCGTGTCTGTGAAACGAGCCTCGCCGGCGTGTTTGGCCGAGATGATACCAGCCTTCGACACCAAAGAGTCGGTCAGCGTCGACTTGCCGTGGTCGACGTGGGCGATCACGGACATGTTACGAATGTTCTTCGTGTAGTCCATGATCTCACGCATCTGGTCCACCGTGAAGTTCACCTGCGCGACGCATGATACGAACACGAGAGAGAGAGAGAGAAAGAGAGAGAGAGAGAGCAAGGGGTGCGAGTCAGTTGCGAGTTCTTTCGGGTTCAGATCGATGCGTTTTTGCAATTTGTTTCGCGTAAGTTATTTATTTGCAGAGGGGGGACGGATTCGTACCATGGTTGCTGCGCGGTAGGTGAGGTTTTAGTGCCGGGGTCGTCGTTCGTTCTCTCTCGTTCGGGCTGGATCCAAAAGAGGAAATGGCACCGAGCGGGAGGACGGAGACTAGTGCCTACAAACGGGTGGAGCACAGCGCCCCCTTTGTCTCGTAACATCTGCCTGGATGTATGCCGTTACAATCATCCTGTCAAACTAAGGTTCATGAGCTCCCGAGGTTTTTTACGCAATTTCGCCCATGCGAGCTTTGATTTGGGCATGACGCAAGGACGATCGAAACTACGCACTCCACGACTCGCAGGTGGCAATTCATGTCAAATTGAGTCAATAGGTCTCTTCGATGAATAAGGTGCAAAACCTTTGCCATGATTGACATTGCATCGGCGTGAGATCATTGACGCGAACTAGAGCTTTAGTATGGAATAGGGGCTGTCTGCTACTTGGGCACATGTTTATGGTTACATATATATGGTCACTTATATATGGTTACTTGTATATGGTCACTTATATATGGTCACTTGAATCGCTTTGCTGGAGCAGAACAAACGATCTGATTGAGTTTATAATGTTTGAGAATTTTGGGCATTTTCTCGAGAACTAAATGGAGTCCTATAAAATAAGGCACGCTATTGTCTTCGATCCAGGTCGAATCCACACGAGAGAGTCAGTGTATTGGTAATCGCTCCTTGTCACGAAACAGCTCGAACGGCCAACCACCGATCAGATTCGCCGCAATTAGCCTGCGGAACTTACAGCCTGCTGGCCTGCGAGCTCAAATCTACTCCAGTCGGCACACCTCGGCCACACGGCTGTTGCATCCACTTGCCAAGTCATCCAGCCTTTATAGTCCACAGGTTTCCAGACACCGCGCCTGCGTCAACATACTCCAAGCAGCACATTTGCCAAACGCAACAACACAAGTACCGAGCACAAGCGGGTCGAATTTCTTGCACTGTAGACAGTAGCAAAGTGTATACTAAAGCCCATGTCCCTTCACGCGCGCGTCACCCACGTGTGTCTATGGCTGCTCTCCCTCCACGTCTCTGCGGCACTCTTCTTTCCACTTGCTGCGCCACGAAGCTGCTGCACCTCTCCACTCAAATCGTCGCAGCCGCTGCGTGTCCCTTGTCAAAGCTCGAGCGCCTGCACCAACGTCAAGCGAGCACATCTACATGAAGGCGCTCGACTGCTGCGTCTGGCACTGCTTAAACTGGTCGAGGAAGAACTGGCACGAGCTAATGTCGTTGCTGTTCGAGTTCAGGCACTCCAAAAACGCCTTCTGGTCCGCGCCGCACTGGTTCTGAGCCGGCGGCTGCGCGGACTGGTGGTCGTGTGGTGCCGAGGCGGCCTCTTGCTGCTGCTCCGGAGCGTCAGAGCTGCCCGAGAACGAGCCAGCCACGGCGCCCACAGCGCGGTGAGCGACAGCGCTGCCCGTTCCAAAGGCCATGCCCTGAGCCATCGTGCCCATCAAGCCGCTCATCATACCGCCGCCACTGCTGCTGCTGGGGTGAGCAGGGGCGGGAGCCGCTTGCGTGCGCGCTGGAGCAGGCGCCGAGCGACGGGCCTGGGCGGGCGCAGGAGCGCGGCGGGGGGCGGGGCGAGCGGCCGGGCGGGAAGAACGGGAACGGCCCATAGTGTCTGAAAAAGTCTTGAGCTCTGGTTGTCGAATTGGATACTGACGACGAGAGAAGCGAAGGCGCTGGTGTGGGAGGCACATCACATGTACACAACGAATTATCGAGAATTGCGGGGATTGGCAAGTGAAGCGCCGCCACTGTTGCACTGTAAAGGAGAGACGAGACTGACCAATGAGAGTTGCAAGCGAGTGGAGAGGTGGCGTTTCGATCGCGCGGTCTAGAAACTGAACAGTTTACTTCTCCGTCTCTATCCAGTATTGATAAGTATTGATAAGTATTGATAAGTAGATACTTACATCTGAAACGAGGATCACAAAAACGACCTTCGTAAGATCAAGGGCACTGTATTTGTTGCGCAACTTTTGCGAAGAGGAAGCACGAAGCGGCTCGGAATATACTTTCACAAGCACGTCCACGGTCTGGTTCGAAGATGGCGGCAAATTTGCTTCGATGGAGATATAAAACCCACAGAGCTTTTTTTCGTGAGTGTCTGCGAAGCAATGGCAATCACTGTACATCTGCTCTGCCGTTCTTCTCCAGCTGTTCGATACGGGCCGTCAATTGCTGCAGTTGTTTGTCCACGTGATCAAAACGGGAACTCAGCTGCGTCTGCATGGCCGTCACTGTTGCCAAGGTACGCTCCAATAGGTCCCTGTCCGTACTGGTATCGCGGCGGTCGCTACCGAAGCAACTTGGAGTGTCGTTACTCGCAATTGCACTCGCGCTCTTCCATGCGCTGACCGGTTGGACGGTAGACTCGGGTTGCGCACATTGTGGCGCGTTGAACCTCGACAAGTTGACCAGTTGCGGTTCCAACGTTGCAGCAGCTTGGAAAAAAGTGCTGCGCTCGCGCTTCTTCGTGGTAGCGACGTCCACGAACAAAGGATTTGTGGTGAGGCGGATTCCTTTGCACACATGAGCAGGTGGTAGCTCCTACACGTCATGCGCACAACATTGTGAGCATAGAAAATTTGTGACGGCGTCACAATTAATGCAGCAAGAGTATGATATCTCACAAGTTCGCTGGACAGCGAAGACTTCCAGCTCAAGTGATCGGAATTGTCGAAGTGTGCAAAAAGCAGGTGCGAGAACATGGTGCCTCCAATGATCGCTCGCATCCCCTGCTCGCCAATGATACAGTGTAAAGAACTGGTGCGGACGAGTTGCATATCATGTCATGGCAGTGCGTACGACGAACCTGAACAACGAGGACATCGGGTGAAGTCAAGCGTGGTAGATCGAGGACTGACACTGCAGACCATTTCCCTGTTTCGTATACGAGAATCAGCAGGCGAGAGCGCGGCATCGTTTGTGCTGATGGTTGGCAAGATGCTGTGTCCTGCGATCACGAGCATAAAGAAGTCCGATCAGTCAGACTAATTACAGGCACCTGGCAAGACTGACTTCCTACCTCGATGCGATTCAGGATTTGCAGAGATTGCGGAATACGTGTGGATGCAAGCGAGATGCGTTTGGACGTCAGATCGATGATACCGCTGCCCGAATCTGCTGATGTTTCTCCAATTTCTACGTGATGTGTGCTCGGGGGGCGCAGCAGCAGGCTTGGTGCAGACTCTGTCCAGCCGAGATGAGTTTCACGTCAGACAGTGTCATGCAAATGCTGGGTACTCACTTGTCGTATCTTCCAGAATCAACTTCGTGTCCGTCGTGCACACACACATGGTTGAAGACACACGTGCGACAGCTGCAACCTGACCGACACAGCCTTTTGCAGCTTTCATTACACGATCGTGAGCGCTCTCTGTAGCGTCCACATGAATCCGGTCGTGTTTTGGATGTTCGAAGAGCAAGCTATTGACGTCCGTCCATCCAAGGCAATGCAGGACGCGGGCTTGCGCTCTATTGCATCGGATCAAGTACTGATGAACACGGGAGTCAATCAGGCCAACAGCAAGCTCGATACGTACATTGATACGTGCAATCCGCACGGACTCCACGAACTCGCGCTCCATCTTTGGTGAGTTTCGGTACTTGCGTAAACCTCACGCCGTAATAAAAATGGTTTGGAAGCGTTGATTATCGATACGCCAGCCTTGGAGTAGGCCTGTATGCGATGAACAAAAACAATCTCCGTGTTAGTGCACTCACAAGAAGAGACCAAACTGACTAAACTTCTGTTTGACGGACAAGCAAAACTTCGTAGCAGGGATTCCACGATATTCCTTGCAAATGATCGATTTCCATCGAGCCCTTCAACATTGCATGGATTTCACTACCACAAAGCGATGAACACAGCACATACGAACGTAAGATCAAGAAGTGACCGTCGTCGGTAAACTGAAGACTACCTTGAAACATGGATTTCCCAAATATCCAGTCGATTCGTCGAAGCAATTGCAAGTAGACTCTTTTTAGTCGTTCCTTGAGACCAAGCAACCACTCGGTAGCACGATGCCTCCATAGCCTACGAAGCAAATGTCATCGTCATGGTAAGACACACTATAGCATTTCCTCAATAAGCAGGTCACAGTCCTTACATTGTGCGAATCCTCACGATACAAAGACAAAGATGTGGTCGGTTGGCCCATAACGCCTTGATCAGACCCGTCGGTGGTGACTGTGCACTCATAGTGCGTGATCACTACTGTCGAGCCATGTGACGTTGCCGACATATGTAGCTTTGGGTTGTATCCTACACGAGTGATGGTCATAAGAAAGAGCAGACACGTATTTCTTGACGTAGAATTGTCGTACCGTCTTGCAGCAAATTGGTCCGAGTGCCCGTTGCGAAGAATGCTTCGGTCCATGCGGTTGGTCCGTGGATCAGCATTGTTGACAAATGCTGTGACAAAACTGTTGTGTTCTTAGTCATTGTCCGAAATGATACGCCGAGTGTTCAATATTGAACAGACCCACACACTCCAGTGCACAAAGTATACTTCGGTCTGTCTGCTATCAGATAACGCAGGGAACCAAGCACTGGAACTCACCCTTTGATACAAGTAATCCAGTCCAGAAGACTGACGAAGCTTTGCCTTTTTGTACCCATTCCAGATGATTAGAGTTGGCTGCTGAGGAATGACTTATGCGTTGAAGTGTAATCGTCGCAGGTTGCTGTGGTTGTTGTGCGGTGAAGCAATTTGTTGGTGTTGTTGATGTGTCAAAGCGGAGCATGAGAGAAAAGAAAGACGGCGGCCGATCGTGTGTATGCAGTCACCATAGCAACTTGATGCGGTTGACGACATGAGATTGACACTGAGGAGGAGGAAAGTGTGAGCGACTTGCTCTACCGACCAGCAAATAGAGTGACCATGAACTTCCCGCTTTCGCACATTCTCACGCTCTTCGAATAAAGAAGCGGTACGCGTGTCACATTGCCTTGTACGTGCTACCTCGCTGTCCGTCAACAGGTGAGCAACAAGTCATTCTCGAGTGCCACTTTAAAACGCAGCGTATCCCCTGTCTAGAGTGCGCCACGCGTGCAAACTACGACCACATTACACCCACTATGTCTTGTAAAAGCGTGCGTGCCGGACAGTCGAATTCCGCAGCACGCATTGATCTCGTATGTGCAAGGTCGCACAGGATAGTACAGACGTCAAAAATATGCAGGTGCAGACTGCTCCGATCAGCCAAGTCAACCTGACTCTGCTGCAGTTCATCCGCGACCATTCATGGCGGTCAATCCAGGAGAGTATGGTACGTCTAGCACAAGAGGTCTGTGCACGGCGCCAATGTAGACGACGTAGTGTACTCCTTGGCGTCTTGGCGAACTCGGACGTATTGACAAGCAACGTCATTCTCCCATTCGGAGTATACCTATTGGGCTGCTGCTTCGCGAGCTGACCTTGTGTTGTCGATGCTGCGATTGTGATGATGCCAACGAAGCGAGTGCTTTACCACTTTATGGCGTCGGACGTTTGCTTTTTTGCGCTGATTGCCCTCGACCTCTTTTATGCTAATCACATGCTTGCGTGACTTACAGACACGAAGGTAGAAGGTGGCTGCCCAGAGAGTTGGCTATCATCGTGTGCACACTCGCCCCACATCGATCCACTTTTCGGATTGCACGCTTGTCGTGGCTGAAGCTCCACGGGCTGGTCAAAACATCGCATGCGAAACACCATGTGCTTCTTGCTATAGATGCCTTACGCGTCGTACTGATGAAGAAAGTCGACGGATATCGAATGACGTGAAAGGAGAGCTTGCATATGTTTGCAATGTGATACATCAGATAGCGGGAGATGCTGGCATGGATTTTGCTGATGCTTGCTTGCCCAATAGTCGCATGCGTGAGACTCCGAGAAACCACACACTATAAAGATCGAATGTCTGTCTACATATACATGCACCACTTGGCCAAGAGAAACTGAAACGTTCTGATCGATGGACACTCAAATGTCACACCACCAAATTCTGAGCGACGAAGCAGTTGCGAATAGGTAGTGGTTTCGAGTAGCGAATAGATTCGACACCTCGTTAGCAGTGAGTCGTTCTTCGACATGTCGAAGGTGCCAATAGCGTTCGCGTGCAGACAAGGTGGGATTGCGCATGATTGTCACGACGAGAACAGGGAACCTGCTTGTATCGGTGACTAAATGATGCTTGGAGTACACCGTAGTGCACATCGTGGAGATTTAATTTTCACAATATGACTTAAGATTGCATCGCGGATAATTAGTTTGAAGGAGGAATGCGCGTTCGACTGCTGAGCAATACAGCGCGTCGAGGAACAAGCGATAAAATACGTTTGAACGTGACATCGATCGAGAATGGAATGATGCTGACTGCAAAAGCAGAATGCGCAACTTCCATATCGAAGAGAATTGTCGTGGTGGATGTCATAGCTCGGCCGACGAGCAATCGAATACGCATTGGGCATAGCGAATGAGACTGACCGACTTCGTGACTCACTCATGGTATTCGAACACGCTTACAACACCCGTAAACAATTCGCCGACGTTGTGGCCCATTTAACTGTGCCAAATGAACGTGCCCTAGGCCCGTAACGCCAATAAAATTACATATTGACGTCGATTTTCTCACATACGAACATTGAGAGAAGTGATGGATGTTTTAGTGACCGCTGTATGTCTTTGTACCATACACACCTGAATCAATTCGGCTGCGCTCATGGGAATGATGAAGGGTGCCCTAACGAACTGGAGTATGCTTACCAATCTACAAGACCGTCGACCATATCTTGTCAAGATGTCAGAGCCAATGACGGCGAGGGGGCTTTGGAAATATGTGTATCGTCCACATTGCTACCTATAACACTCGCGTCCATGCGATATAGTGATAGCAAAAGAGATGACAACAAACGTTCTGGGATTTGGTAAAAATCCAGCATCGATGTGCGTACTGATTACGTCCTCATGCGCAAAGATGCTGGTACGATGATATCTTGTAGTTGCGAGTCAACAATGCAGGAAGGAATGTCAATAGAAATAAGCCAAAAGTACACACACAAAACGATCACGATCGTATATTGCTTGACATATCACGGTCGCAGTATCGATCGAGTAAAACGCTACTTGCGAGCAAAAAATTAACTGCATTGCCGATACAAAGTAGCAGCAAAACCAGGTCCGTGCATCATACCATTCTTCCAAAACAGTTGCGACATTAACATGAGACAAAGTGCCAAGGTAAAAAAACCCATCGGCATGGGCAACTGTATGTAGACAGGGGCAAAATCTACCTACTTGCGATTCGACCATACTGATGACCTCAATGCTCGTGATGGAAGTGAAAGGTCATACAGGTCGTTGCGGTGACGTAACGCAACACATGTCGAGGGAAAACTGTGCATGAGAACATTCCGGTGACAAAACCAATACGGAATGGGACATGCTTCATCTACATGCGTATGAACTGCAGAAGCCTTGACGGAAGTCGTTAGAACGAGTGTGATATCTAGTCTTGATTGATTGCACATTCGTAGTTGAGAAAATATGAGCGTTCTGCTATATGCAAGATAAAAAAGCGAGTCTGTGAATGATGTACCGATGTCTTTGTCGTCCAGTATAGCATCGTTAGCATCAACAATAATTGTATAGAACAAAATTGCACATGGACGGACACTGCAAGTCTCATGAGGCTCGCACAGATGTATGCGTAAATAAGCAACGATCTTACTGACCAGTTTAACTCGTTAGTGTAATGCGATGTGTGAGGCGTGCACTCAGCCGCTTCTTAGCAAGACAGTTACGTGCACATTTATAGCATAGTGCATCATGAGCTGTTTTTAAGTGCAAACGAATGAACACAAGCAAACTAGATCTGTGAATCCCGCAAGGTACCGAGCAGTCGAGAAAACCGGAGAAACAGGAATTTGTTCATATCGACAAAATGTTCTTCAATTTACATATCATTATTTCCACTAAATAATGCAGTCATAGTCATTGCGAAAGCAGCTAAGACTTCAGGAAAGCGCTTTGCCGACTCAACAAATCTGAGCAACTTCGTAGAGCGTCATGCCCCAAAAATGAAGCCACTAGGATAGTGGATTTCTTCGAAGTTGTGTGTACAATAATTATAAGCACGCGGATGTAAATACAGATGTAGATGCATGACATCTTCTCAAAGGCTACGAACGACCCACATTCATACTCTGTAAAAGTTTGTATGTTTTTTGCCTACAAAGCGGATCAAACAAGTTTCGTTAATTTTAGCGGCTATTTTACAATGAAATAATAGATAAAGGCATTGACCTATACTACCATTGGACTTGAAAAACCTTAGGGGCAAGTCTGTATGACATTCATGGACACAAGCGCTTCACTCAAGGAAGGATTGGTTACCAACGACACATCAACAACAATATTGAATCATGATTCCCAATTGTCTATTGTATGATTTGTTTGGTACATAAAACACAAAATGCCCTAACTGTCGGGTCGATCTGACATTGGGGCATCGTGCACTCGAGCCATCGCATGCATTGTACTACTAATAATTGGCATCTCGCCAAGATGTATATTTTTAATTATTCAGCAGTGGCAAGGATTTTGCTTCTCGTTGCCATTCCTAAATCTATGGAAATGGTCGGCACTGAATTCGATAAATCAATCAGACCTTCTCAAGATCGAGATTACTTCTGACTAAGTAGCAGCATTTATCGGCCAAACTGAACATCGCAAGGCGGAAGGTTGACATAGCAGTGAAATCGGTAACGGTCGCCTGCGACATAATTTGCGATTGTAATGAGAAGGAATGGAGCTTGTAGTTACGTCTGACAGCTCACCTACGACTTCGAGGCAGACTTGACGTCACAAGCGGAAGATGTTCTGGTTTAGGTGCATTCGTATCGGAATGTGTGTGTCGTATGCTAGTTGCTGCGTTTGTTTTGATGGGACAATTCCAACTTTTTGCAGCTTCACAACATTGATGATTGTTGCTATTGTCAGACGCACCTGACGCACAGATTAATACCATTGCAAAGTAAGGGTACGCCTAGAACTGTAGAGGAACATTACGTCAATTATGACGCTGCTCGAGAGAATTCCATGCATTCTTACATCAGCTTTTCCTGCTCTTCATCGGCCGCAGTTGCGGAAACATTTTAGAAGTGACGGGCAGCATAACTAGACACAACTTATTGGTAAGTGCCAAGCAGAGCATTAGTAGGTTCAAACAGCGTGGGACCAACTGCACGATTGTAGTGTTGACCAAAAGCGACGTGCAACATGTTTTTTTGGAAAATGAGGGTACACCACGCAAGATAAAAAAGGATTTATGGTGCACGAGGTAATAAAAAAAATAGATTAATTACCGCAAGGTGAAAGTCACAAAATATTGTTACAAGCTCTAAAATATAATTGCAATACTGATAAATATCGACAATATTTGATTGAACACATGTTCACTACGAGGGATCGCATCAATATTAAACATAGATATTTTTGGCGATGATCATGTAAGTGCCGCTCATAATTTCATTCGAAGAGCATTCAATTACAATATAGGGCCGCTAGGTCAGTCTTGCGACCCCTGAGAGGTCTTTTTTCACCATAATAGCTGCAAGGACGCAAGTACGTTTGAAACGATGTACAATGACTTTACAGCGAGCGCCTAAATGGTATGTACTCGCACGTATCGCGAACTAGGATAAGAATACATAATAACAAAGTATCAGTATATTGAGTTTAATGTTTGACGTAGAACCGATGAATCTATGATAGTGTGCATGACTTCATGAAAACATTTAAAACAATTGAATATATGTTCACAGCATCCACACTTCAGCATAACACAAAACCAACGTCATGACAACCACTATCAGCAGCTTCTTCTACGTGACGACCATCACCAAATCATCATCGCGTGTATTGTTTGCGTGTACTCGACCTTTTGTGTCCACAGGCATCCGCGTGACCCATACAATTGCACCACAAGCATTGCGAAAGCTCCCCGATGTCTTGTCTACAATCTTTGTCTGTCTATCGTTCCATACCACCTCGATCGTGCCTCAAACATCGTAAATTGCATTGTGCACGCGCCAATTCAACAAGACCTATCTCATCCAATATAACTTCAGCTACACCGTCCAGGCGATAGCTACACTTCATTTTCATGTTTAAACAATAGGGTCTACATTAACAAGATAGTAACAACGCGACCTTGCAAAAGAACGATAAACGTCATCTGCGAATTACGCTTAAACGTCAACATACCTATCTCTTCTTATAACAAATGACTGGCGACGGAAAATATGATTATAGGTTCAGTTGATGAATGATAGGAGGTTTTAAAGACGATATGCGTGCATGTAAACGATCTCTATCTCTAGAATATATGTGTGTTCGATCGTGCACTGTCCATCGCTGGTGCAATGTGTACATTTTAATGATTTGGTGCCTCAATTTACACTTTGTGGCGCATTATTTTCGTACTTCAAACTGCAAAGTATTTTATTTATTTTTATGACAATGCAGTCAATCAATCTTCTTATGCACGCAGCTTTATTCGTAAAATTATACATACGTACTTTGTTGACAACGATGTACACGCACAATTTGACGCGTGTAGCAAGCGCAATTCCCCAAACATCACGATCGGCGCGAGACGCGATGATGCTACATACGACCTTCTTTAGCCTGGTTCGCAATCTCGCTCTTTCGATGCGCAGTGTTGTTTGTTGGCCGCTTGTACTTGGACAGGTCCAAGTCCCGAAAGTATGCGATGGTCCGCATGAGTCCATCTTCGATGCACACGCTGGGGCTCCAATCCAAATGCGTTCTACAACACAACAACAACAACACGTCAGCATCGTTGGCACGACGATCGGCAGGACAACCCAGCATGGAACGGACTTGGCGAGCGTGATATCAGGTTTACGCAGCTTGGGGTCGTTGTTGGGTAGGTCCCGAAAGACCAAACGGCTTGTCGAATTGGTCAGGCGGATGATAACGGCAGCGAGTTCGCGAATGGTCATCTCATGCGGGTTGCCCAAGTTCATTGGCCCCACGCACGTCGTACAGCCCATGAAGCGCACGATAGCTTCCACCAGGTCGTCCACATAGCAGAACGAGCGCGTTTGGTCGCCCGAGCCGTAGATCGTTATGTCTTCGCCCTGCAAAGCCTGCATGATAAAGTTGCTGACAACGCGTCCATCGTACGGGTGCATCCCCGGTCCAAACGTGTTGAAAATACGCGCCACGCGAATATCAACGCCCAGAGTGCGGTGGTACTCGAAAAACAGCGTCTCGGCCACGCGCTTGCCTTCGTCGTAGCACGCACGGACGCCCGTGCAGTCAACATTGCCCAAATACGATTCCACTTGAGGCGACTGCTCCGGGTCTCCATACACTTCGCTCGTCGAGGCTTGGAATACGCGCGCTTGCACGCGCTTGGCCAGGCCCAAGACGTTCAGTGCCCCGAGAAACGACACTTTGGTCGTCTTGATCGGGTTGTCCTGGTAGTGCACGGGCGACGCAGGGCACGCGAGATTGTAGATGGCGTCCACCTCACACGCATAGGGCTCGGTCACGTCGTGGCGCACGACCTCAAACTTCGGGTACTGACTCTGCAGCTGCAGCGCATTGGCGCGCTGACTCGTAAAGAAGTTGTCGAGGCAAATCACTTCGTGGCCGCGGGCGAGCAGCTTGCGACAGAGGTGCACGCCAATGAAACCCGCGCCACCAGTCACGAGGACGCGCTGGATGGCGCACTCGCGCACTTGACGAGGGAGCGACACGGGTGGGCGGCGCTGGGGGGAGCCGTCGGGAGTGGCGGCGGTGACGCGGCGGGCGGGTCGTCGCTTGGCGTCATGTCGGACGAAGCGATGGAACGAGCGCGAGGGGTGCGACCGACGCGCAGTTTGTAGCGCTTTTGTTCTTATTCGTTGTCTGAGCTGGCGGGGAAGGACCAGTTTTGCTGTCGGCTGTGGAACTGGGGAAATGTATGGTATTACGAATACAACAGGTTGGAGAGAGTTGGGCGGTGCGATTACTGTTGAGGAGATCCGATCGTCGTGGGGGTAATGATGGATTGATCATGGGTTCGTCCGATGTAAACAAAACACTTGTTTTCGGGGACGGTCCACGTGTAAAAAGCAAAACGCGACGTTCGGTTCCAAAAAACCCAAACGTTTCAGCAAGTTCGTCGTCACGCTGGGTTTTCTTCGTGTCTCCTCTATATTTGACAAAACAACTACACGCCCATCGGCAGCGATGCCAGCGACGGCGGGACGGGTGCGCATGCCGCACAACAACCGCATGCACAGCAGTACGGCGCTCAAGATGACGGGCATCTGGAAGAACACGATCGGGTACGACCCGTACGCGGCGGCGGACGAAAAGACAGAGACCAGTGAGACGTCGTACGAACAGGCGAAGGGATTGATGGCGCTCGCGAAACTGTCGAATAAATCGGTCGGTACAAAGCGTCGAAAAGATGACATTTACGACAATGGGGAGAGCCGTATTATTGACAATATTGACGAGCGATGTGTTCGGTGGGATGTTTTATGCAGAGCGATGTGCGCGGTGCCTGTAAAAAGGTCAGAATGCTGTTGTTTTGTCGATAATTTGTCGGGTGGTGTCAATATTGACAATGGGTCTTTGCGGGCATTATCGTTGCTGGTGGTTGCTGCAGTGCGGTATGGTGGGACATTTGACGTTCCAGTGCCGAAATCATTTGACGGTGGCGGAGACGCACGCGGACTCGTCGGATTCGTCGTCGTCATCGGTAAAAAGCGCTGCGTTGATGTTGAGCAATTGTTTGGTGGACGATTGTTGGGATGCCTGTGTAATCGTAACCTCATGTTTTCGGATCTATCTCTTTTGTGTTGCTCAGGACTTGTCCAGCGATGAGGGCGAAGACAGTGAAGACGAAAAAGATCAAAGGCCTTCACGCCATCTGTCCCCGCGTCGTCGTAGTCGCAGTCCAGAAGAACGACGTCGCAGTCGCATTCCAGAAGAACGACGTCGCAGTCGCAGCCTAAGCGCTGGTAGACATGGTCGGGCGAGGGGTCGGTCTAGAAGTCGTAGTGCGAGTCGCGGGCGGAGTCGCAGTTCAAGTGTTGATTCTGACCGAGTAGACAAACGCCGATCAAGCAAATCGTCGGTGTCGAAGAAGGACAAGAAACGCAAGAGCAAAAGCTCGTCGAAGAAGAGACACAAGAATGGCAAAGACAAAGAGCACAGAGAGTCCCGGCGCCGCCACAGTGCGAAAAAGTCACATGCTAAGAAGCAACGGCGACACTAGCGGAGCGAAACGAACGGAGACGACCGTGACAATTCAGAAGGGGATTGGTTGGGTCTACATTCATATAGTTTTTACATCTTGTGCCTCTGTTGCGTACGTCAAAGCTCGCTTCCCTCATGGTGTCTATCAGCCAGCACATCTAGAAGCCCATCATCCTCTTGGTGTCAGTAGATCCTTCACTACTCGTCTGTCGCGATGCTCCTGGCGGTCCTCAAACAGCCGTGAACGCTTCCTGACAGCTGCAGCAGTCACACGACGCGTAAATTTTTTGCAACAGGTCTGGCAACAACAAAGGAAGTCGATGTCGCAGCAACACGGTCAACGGCCCATCGAGTATTGGCATCCATAGCCGCGGCGTCACACCACCAAGTAGTCGATCTTGCTTCCTCACTAGGATGGGCTGCCTGATACTATCGCAGAAGTAGCCGCCACTGCCACCCCCAGCAGCTCCTCTACTCAATGTTTACTTCGTCCCTCATGCTGCAGTGATTGCCGTACAAATCTCCCTTGTAGATCTTCTGTTGCGTTGCAGACGTTCGTAATGCTGCATCCACCGATACCTCCTCAATGCCAAGTCACCCTTCAGCTCTTCGTCCCTTTGTCTTACGGTAAGATGCCATTCGAAACCTTTTGGAACCAGTCGTATTGCCTCGTGCCACGGTGCCCACTGCTCTTGTCCACAATGCGGAAAGCAGTACGCTCAACATCTTGGGCACTCCAGCCAACACACAGACGACGGCTAAGGCGCCGAACTATTTGGGCTCGCGACTGGCCTTTGAAGCAGGGAAAGCACGAGTCTTTGGACGACAAGTATACAAGAGACAGCAACTGCGAAGCTTCTAGGTGCAGGGCGAGCAATCCTTGAGCCATGAGCTGTCGGTAGTGATTGAAGCCCTCGGCGCCCATGATCGCCACCATTTCAGACGTGAGCTTGAATGGGGCCGTCTCAAGGCTGAACGTGTTACCGGGCGCAATACCTAGAACGAAGCCAAAGTCGATGTGCACGACGTGGCCTTCAGTGTCGAGCATGATGTTGCCGTTATGTCGGTCCTTCACGAGGAAGATGTAGGAAAAAAGACTGTAAGCCGCCATGCTCGAGATAAAATTGGCACGGGCCCTCTCGAGGCGGACAGGATCGCGTTTGCCAGTCACGGGATCTCGACCACACGCCTCATCGAATATCTTCACCAACGAGGTGCCAACGCCACCATCCGCCTTTCCTCTCTTTTTCAGGCCGTCCAGCGACTGCGCATCGGTGATCACCTCCAGCAGTCCGCAATCCTTACCCGCACACACGATGCTGTAGTAGCGCATCCAGAGACTGAGACCATGTTTGCGGAAGATAAGTTGAAACAACTTCAGTCCTTGTAGCACGAAGACCTCCTGGCGCATGTCGTCAAAACTCTTCGCAATAACAGGGATCAGCGCCCAGCCGTCGTAATGCGAGAAAGAGCTCTGGTCTCGAATACGTCTTTGCATGTCGGCAAAGCGTTCGCCAAAGAATCGACATTTGTAGGCCTCGAATAAGTTTGCCGAGTTTGAGCTGTCCCTTGTGTTCAAATCGTCCTCACCATTCGTCTCCTCAGCACCACTTTCACTACCGCAAAGGCTGTCGGTTTCACCTTGGCCACTAAGGGATGTGATGTCTACCGAGAGTACATGGTTTAGACCGTCCAGGTCCTCCGGAACCGAAGACCGCAATGAGTCCTGAGATGACATGGGAATCAGATCGGCCACATAGGACATCACAAATTCTCCATCGAGGTAGCTAATAATCTCGTGCTGGTGTGGTTCCAACACCCCCGTTATGTCGCTTATCACGTCCGCGGCAGCATCCGCTATAGTATCAAGCTCGCTGCCGGGAAGGCCACCATCACTTTCTAGTGACGCAGCAATAACCTCAAAGAAAACCAATGTCGGCGCACGGGCCTTGGTGGAAAATACTGTCCCTTCATCCGTAAGAACATTGACCACGCGGTGTGGACGAATCACGTCACCTGCCAGTGGCAACGCAGCTTCGGGACGAATATGCTTCCCTCGAAGCATCTCCTGCAAAAGTGCAGGAAGCTGTGTCTTTCGCTTCGAAGGCTCGGATATGTTTTCTTTCAGGAAAGTGCACAGATCCACGAGAAATCTCACGAGCCGCATTTCGTCGCCAAACACGTGTTGAGCAGGTTTGCTCCAAATCCGCTGCTTCGTCTCCACATAATGTTGGGTTCCCGATCGCCGACGTTCTACTAGCATGAGTTGTGCTTCTTCAATGTAGTCAGTCGGAAATGGGTCCAAAAACCCATCACCAGCACGAAGCTGCTTGCGCACGTTTCGTGAACTGATCAATATCTCCTCCTTGCTGCGCGCGAGAAGCCACTCGTAAAAAGGAGACTCGCGTTGGGAGGTAGCGTAGATACGACGAATGTATTCGTACAGTTGTTCCAGCAACTTGTCGAACGATTCGCGTTGATGTGCAGGTGCTAGCGGAAACAACAGTTGCGGCAATACACTTCGAAGTTCGCCAAAGTTGACGTTCATCACGAAGAATAACATCACTATAACTTCGTTTCCACGATTGTAATACCCTTCTGCCATTACGTCCCAATGAGCAGCAATGCACTCCCAAGCTGCCTTGACAGCTAAGTGCACGCTGCGACGAGCAGCCGCAGCTAGAAAGAAGAGATAGAAGGCACGGATGCTGTTCGACGCATCCGAAAGGTTCACAAAGCCCCATTGCAAAAACTGTGGCCAATAAAAGTCCATCGTATCCAGGCAATTCTCGACATTGTGCACTAGCTGCGCTAGCACCACGACGAACATAAATGGCTGCTGTCGGTACTTGTACATTGCAGCGAGAAGACTCAAAGGACCGAGATTTCGAGCGCGAATGTGAGCAGCAATCGTAAGCTTGGGGGCCTGGTCAAAATATTTCCAGCGCACAAGGCGTGACAACCCACCGGCTTCGTCGACGACAGACGCATAGTACACTCCAGCTTCTTGTAGTGACGTTAGCAGCTGTTGTCGCAGAAAGCAGTCCATGCACACACGTTTCAGTCCAGTTGCGAGGACAGCTCCCACGCCTGCTTGAGATCGGATCATATCTTGAGCTGATGGGGTCATCGGTTTGGGTGTATATATGGTGGTCCACTGGTTGCAATGATCACGACAAAAACGGTGCGTACAGGACGCGCACAACTTCGGCGTATGTATAAACCGCCCAAGTCGCTTACTGCAGCGTAGACAGCCATGACTCGGGCGTAGAACGGAGCCAAACACAGCGCTCAAACTGTGCCGCCGATTCGTACCACTAATAGCATATTCCCGAACGACACGAGAGCTACGAGGGTCGGTCGCGTCGCTGTTGGAGCGTCTACCATAGGGTTCGATTTGTCCATTCTGATGTTGATCTGCCAGCCGCAATAGCGACGGATCTGATGCAGCGTCTGCTGCACAATCGAGCTCGACACTAGCGTCCATATCGTCAATCTCCCCTGCGTCTCCATTTTTCCCCACGAGCTCAAAGTGGTCCATCGTAAACATCCCAGGCGCAGCTTTGCTCGCTGCCGCCTTGAACGAACGCAATGCTGACGTCGTGAGCGACAGTAAACCGAACGGATCGCCTTCTTCAAGTAGATTTTCGGACCTGCCTTGATGCAGCAGCGGTCGCACGGACGAAGCCGACGCGGGCACTGACACGTGCACAAGCCCAAGCGCATCGTTCCCCCCCTCTTGCTCGTCCCCCACCTGTTTTGCCTCGTTCTTTTCTCCATCCACCTCCTCTTCAGCCTGATCGGTCTCCCCCTCGTCCTTGTGAACTACCACCTCGTCGAGCAGTTGCACCCACTGATCCCTCTGCGTCTGCGTCTCAGCTTCCACCAAGAGCACGACGCCCAGCACGTTGTCCTCCACATAGAACAAACAGCTGTCGACTTGGCTACACCCTCGCGACACGTTCCGTTCGGTCCGTGCGCCGTCGAGCGCGTTCTCCAGTTCTCTGTCCACAGCCTCAACGCCCGAGATGCTCGTGCTCGTTAGCAATAGGGCACTGCTGCTACTACTACTGCTTCGACGATTGCTACTGGCGGAGGCATTGTCCGTACCAGTGGTGTCGACTGCGAACCACTCGAGTGTCGCAGAAGACGTATCAACGCCACAGACGTACCAGACGTTGTCGCGCAAGTGGCCATAGTGCGTGCGGGAGGCGGCGGTCGCGTCAGGCGAACGGTCGGCGTGCACGCTATCGGACGCGGGGGAGACGAGACGCTCGCGGATGCGCACGAGTCCATTGTGTCGTCGCGTCGTCGTCGGCATCGCAGGATTCGGGTGGCCCTGCGCGGGGTTTTGGCGTGTGACATGACGAGTGGCTCAATGATTTGGAGAGCAGAGAGGAAGACGACATTGGCAGTCGAGCAGGTGGCGGACGAATAGCTACGCTGATTTACGGCTGACTGCGAATAAGGGGTCGAGCGCTTGAGCGGGATATTGTGGGCAGACGGTTCAGTGGGTGGGCATGTTGTAAAAAGATCAAGGGCAAAGAAGGCGAACAGATGGAGGGAATGTTTACGGTGCGAATGGCTCGGGTCAAATTGATTTTTGGCTCGATCGTGTCGTTTGTTCTCGAGCGGTTCCAGCGGTGGGGCGATTCGTGTATTAGGACGTTTTGTTGTTGAAGCGTATTGATGGCCACAAGTTTGACACCTCTCTGCGCACACACTCCCGGGTCTGTAGGTTGTTCGCCGCAGGTTTTGTCGACAGCTCTGACTTGCCGGCATTGCATCTCTCTAGTTAGCGCTCCTCCAAGAGGACATGGTACCGGTAAGTGGTACGCCTTGAACATGTGCGTGCATACACATGGTTCCTCGGATCAACGGGCTTGGTAGGTCGCAGTTTGGAACAGAGTGCCCAAGTAGACTCGGCTTGGGCATGAACACGTTCTTTTACGTGAATTTTGCTTCCATCGGTTGGTCAATCTGCCAACCACGTGCACCTGTGTGTTATGTCAACAGCTGCACGATGAAGATGACCCCAAATGGCGCAGACGAAGACCTCTTGCTTGCAACGATGGACGATCCCGAGAAGGCAGAGCACATATGCCGTCGAAGAGCAGCAACGCGGCCGTGAACACGTACCACGCCGCAACCAAACGGCTCAAGCGAATGCTGCACCACAAGTCCAAGAACTGCATCGTAATCAGATGAAGATGGTCCACAAAGGACTGAAGTCAGTGTGACAACAGTCTCGCGTCGCTTGACAACAAGGTCACTCTCGCATACACGCGTTGTCAATTAGCTGTCGAGGTGTAGACTACAACGATCTGCAGGCGTCTTCTGGTAGAAATGAGCTGACATCGCCCGAAACGCAGATTCGCTCGATTCTGCACTCTTCACATGACCTCTGTAGAATTCACTATTTACATTTGCAAGACGATGGTTACACTATCATTCCTCGTGTCCGATACCCGACCAACATTCACAAAAACAACATCTGTGTAGCTAAATGTCCGACATGTTTCTGTGCCGACTAAACGCCACGTTTTTCGTTCGTGTTATTTATCGTTAGCTGGGCAAGCAACCCACATCGACAGTCGCAGTCACACATTATAGTTTGACGCCAGCAACATTCTAGAAGAAAGGGGGCAGGCAGACAAAACTCGCAGAAACAACCCGCACTTTTCAACATTTGTCTTGTTCAACCTCGTCAAAACGAGCAAATCATAGAAAAGTGTGAATGCAAGGGTGGGACATTTAGGTTGTGCAACCATGAAGAACTCGTTGCGGGTAAGTATGCGGACCATTAAGGTTGCATTCGGTACGGAAGCTAGGAAGTACGAAGTGCGTGAAACGGGGTCTGACACATGTCGGCCATCTAAGTTGATGTATATTCTGATACACAGAAAAGATATACAAACCTACATCAAAGTAATCAGGCTGAGTATATAGCGGAGCGATAGCAGCTCCTGTGCCAGAGGAAGGCTCAATGAGTCTTCTTGGCTTACTGGGCTATTAGTCCTGGTCCAGGGGAATCTTCCGATATAAAGAATCAACAGCACCATGTGCTAGAGAGAATATGCCCTAACAAGGCTTTTCTTTCTTGTGGTGAAAGACGCCCTAACAAGACACGTGTCTTGTACAGATTTACTCATGCGACCTAAAACCAATTATATTTTCTTACAACGACGATTGATACTGCATTATTATTGAAGGAGATTTATAGGTACACACCCACCGTTTGATGCGTACACACACCACTTCCCTTAGATACAGAGGCCCCTCCTCAAGTACCGTAACCTTCCTAACTAGGCACCGCACACTCATGCATACAAAATGCAATATAAATATTGTTTGCTTTGTACACACCCCTCCGTAATACAGGACTCTTTTGTGGCAGCACACAGCCTTGCGTATGACACCCGCTCTCATTATCCGGCACCCCCTATAAGTACCCCTAATACTACCATTTCCCCTAATTCAAATAGCGTCTAAACAACGTCAACAACTCTTGAGATGCTAGAAGCAATAAAGCCGTAAGGCCGCGTGAGCTCCCGCGGCGAGAAGCAAAGAGGCACAGCATGTGACCTCAACACACGCACGTACGCACACGTACACGTACACACGGTCGATGAACTGCACAGGTGCGTTCGCTGGTAGACATATAAATCGAAGTGGCGAGCGAAAAAAAGAACAAGTACCAGCAATTAACGCACTGCAATGTCGTCACGAGAGATACCACTGCCCGACGGCGTGTGCAGTTGACATTGTGCAAACACTCGTCGCAACAGTGCGACGACAGAAAGTAGTAATCGGTTGGCGACCGCTACTACTACTATTTAAATATTCGCGTGATACTTTTGTTTTTTATTTACCTGCATAAACATGCTGAGCTTGTTGTCAAATTTTAAATGTTGCATAACGTCTCCGATACGCTGACCTTCTCTTGTCAGTTTAACGCAGTGGTGCGAGTCACATTTGGTCAGACACATATTTCGAAAACGCAAGAAGCCGTAAATTCAGGTGACCATTAGCTCAGCAAATGGCAACCGAATCGATCAGATCCGCGACGAGGCCACACAGTTGCTCGATTCGGTGACCACACAGATTCAGCATCAGGTGCGATTGGATCTTTTCACCTTTTACCACTTAAATGAATCATCAGCTCATGCTCTCTCGACACGTTCCGTGTACTAACTCATTCGTCTGCAAATCTAACACCTCTGAACACGCATTTTTAGTTCGCTGCAGCGAGTCAAGTGATGCTGCTGTATGGTTTAGTCTTACGTGGCTAGCAAACATCAGAAGATAGGTACAAGAAAAAGGTTTGGCTGAAGAATCACTCACTTTTTGTAATACTCTTTTTTTCGTCCGATTGCAACAGTTCGAGCAGGCAAGAGCGAAAAATGACGACCTGATCGTGAACACGTCCGCTCCCTCCACTATAGCAGCGGACGTCACAGCTTGTCCGGGCATGAAGATGCACGAGATTCCGGTACGATATAAACCCTTTTTTGCGCGGTGTAACGATGAAGTAAAGATGGCTCATTGTATACGGTCGACCAGAGAAACGCTTCACCGGAAGTTCTGCTTGACATCATAAACAAAAACTCGCAGCTTTTGATTGAGGTACGATAGAAAGAGCGGAAGTTTACTGGGCTGTACATGGTGCACATCCTGATCATTGTAATGTATTTTTTTCGTTGCTATGGTTGCATCACACTGACCCTAAGCTAGCGACAGCACTTCAGACCAAGAATGTGTCGGTACGTGGGCTTTGGATAACTATAGTGTTAAAGCGCAACTGCAGTTGGGACCGTGTCTGTGTAGACAGTGCGCATGGAGTTGATGCGAATGCACATGTCATCTGCATAACGAACGTTTATATAGGAACAACAAGAGATCGAAGCTGTGGATCTCGGAACGCTGGATCAGTACCAGTAAGAGGTAAGCTTAATACTTGACCTAAATAATAAAATCATCTATAAATTAGTGGAAATGGTAGTATTAGGGGTACTTATAGGGGGGGGGTGCCGGATAATGAGAGCGGGTGTCATAAGCAAGGCTATTTGCTGATACAAAAGAGTCCTGCATTACGGGGGGGTGTACAAAGCAAAGAATATTTATATGGCATTTTTTTATGAATAAGCGTGCAGTACCTAGCTAGAGAGGTTACGGTACTCAAGGAGGGGCCTCTGTATAGAAGGGGTGTGTGTGCGCATCAAAGGGTGGGTATGTACCTATAAATCTCCAACTGATATAGTGCGGTCCTAGTGACACTCGAGAAGAACTCGTTGTTCGCCAACTGGCAAGCCACGGAGTAGGACTGGCGACACATTATTGACACGCACAGCCCTTGCTTAGTTGGTAGCTCTTAAGGTATAAAAAAGTAGAAAGTTCGTGGTCACAATCCTCGCTCGGCGGTAGAACTAGCCCACACATTTTTTTCCTTCTCAGTCAACTTTATGTCGCCGGCTGAATCAGGTCGTTTTTACTACACAGGCAAAATCACCCGTCGAGTTTCTTTCTCGCATGCTTATCTTCGATACATTGTCAGCAGCACCAGTTCATTCATCACACAACAAAACATCTAAGCTGCGATAATATTTGACGCCTCACAAGCGCATAAGACGTTTACCAGCCTCTAAATCTAGCCATCTGCTACAGGTGCGTGTATACGCAAAGTTTGTTAAGCCTTTAGACTGGAATACTCGTAATAAAATAAGTTCAGAGCTTGCTCATCTATTCTGTACGTATATAACCGACGCCGACTTGCTTCACGATTCGCTCACTGTTGCTCGTCCGTCTCGACTAACACCTCAACTTGACTCCTATTTCAATGAAGTAGATAGAAGACCACCGTCCTTTTCTTGCATATGGACTTGTTCGGTGTACACCTTTTAGACGTGAACCTGTAACAGAGTCGGACTAGTCCATCATTCAGCAACTGCAACGGTCTTGGTCCAGTCACGGAACACTCGTACGTGCGTCGTTTGCCTATATCAATGGACAAAACGATTCAAAACGGGTAAGAAGCCCTGGTTATACTCATACAAACCTGCGAATGTGCGCTTCGACTCAAAGAATGGAGGACCAAATCCTTCCAGTGATGGGAGCTGGCTGAAAGATGGATGGTCCGCACCTTGCGGTCAAAAGCTCCCGTGACTTGCCATTGTCATTTCGCAGCTCGCCGAGCAGCCACCGGACGCCATAATGCGTTTGCTGTGCCATGTTTGCGCGATTTCCGTCTTTCAGTTGAACGAATGTGGTGGAATCGACAACAGTGGAGAAAACGTGGAATCGATAACAAATCCGTCTATTTATCAATCCGATGGTACCGCTCTTGAATTGCTGAGGTTCCTCGCCGTCCGGTGACGTCAAATACGTCGGAAGACGAACCGTGTCCGTCTCGACTCGACTTTGGGGAGCGAATCATTGCAGCGGATGCGATGAAATAGGAAAAGCGAACAGCGAGGAGATGTCTTGGCTTCCACATTCAGATTGCCAGATGCAAGAACGAGAGTGCACACTTTGACCACAGCTGTGCAACTTCCTACCCCAGAATTCTCTTTCAAGCAGTTGGATCACTTCGCAGGGCTGGAGAGGAACTTTTGCAGGCGGTATAACGCTATCGTATATTGGCACACTGAAAGCCAGGGGTACCTTGTTAGCGACAGATAGTCGATTGCAATGCTAGCAGTCAAGGTAATGACAACGAGGCTGGCGCAGCTTTCCACATATTTCGCAACGTCCATAACATGTGGGATTGTGATAAAGGTCAGCAAAGACTGCTGGCAATGATGTACTCGAAATGGTGGTGACGACGGGTAAGCTCTTGGACTGGCTTAGGTATGTTGGCTTAGAACAAGCTCAATATGTTACCTTGGGAAACGAACCTATCGTGCAGCTGCTGGAAAGAAAGAAAAAAGGTATAAAAAGATACGGCGGTATTTTCCACTAGTTTTAGCGTCACCGGGCATTTAAAAATGCGTTCACAGATAGCACTGCTTTTACGCATGATGCAGTAGAGAACTACATACAAGTGTTTAACTTATGGTCGAAGTCGAACAAGAATTGTCAAGCGTGTTTATATGGCGCCTTTAATAGCAGTGAAGTTTAAGCCCGGCGTCATTCAGGAACAGGTGAGGTTGTGTACTCTGTGTACATTTTACGGTGGCTGAAAGATAGTGACGTCACCCGATCCTAGGTTCACTACTTTGGTGATATGGTAGTGACTGGTGCCTGACCCGCCGCCACCTGTACTGGAACATCGCAATGCATCTCAGCAAAAACGACCATAGCGATCATCAGCATACGGCAACCATACTTTTGGTTACGAATGCACGTTGTCCAGAATATATCCCGCTAGTCATGTCAAGTCTACCTCGACAATGTTCATGAGCTAGCAGATCGAGGCGCAGACTTCATTCCTTCTCATACCAATCCCAAATATTATCGCAGGCAACCATTAGCAACTCATCTGTTTTGTCAAGGTTGCGCCCTCAATATCGAATTCAGCATGTACACGCAGCTGCTTCGTCAAATGTCATCTCGGATCTTGTCACGAGTAATCTGATAGAACGCGCAAAGCTGGAAGCATACCGTTCACATGGTCGCATTTCAATGATCCGCCTGCATACACATCATTTTATCAAAAAGTCAAGGTCACTTTGACTGCGCGGTTGTCCAGCCTTGTACCACTGCACGAGACACATACACGACCATATTGACAGGGATGGGCGCAATGAGCGCAGCAATGACTATGTAGCCGTTTACAACGCGTATTGTGGCTCTTCCTAAGCAATTTAAGAAGACTTTGGTCCAGGCCGAAAAAAGTAGCTCATTGCCGTGCCAGGCTCTTATGGTTAAGCACATTTTACCTGCTGCCAGAGAACACGCCGTGATCCACGCCACTCACTCAATGCACCATAACATGCTCAGCAGCCAAATCAGCTACCACGTCACTGTTGCGGACGTCAAACACGTCGACAAGCGAGCAAGCAGACAGTTTTCGGGGGTCCGATCAATGACGGCGCTAAAGAATGCGTGTTCCCTAACTTCGGACGTCGGTCTGGTATACCGGTAAACTTCGACTCAAGGTCGTTGCCTCGATTGCCCTTCATGTCCTTTTCGGTCTTTCGTGTCGACTGTAAGCTTGCATGAGCAACCCCTTGACCCCTTTTTCATTTGTCAGCCTGCTTGTGTCTTGGCAATACTTACCTATGTCAAACTAGCAATAAAGTGTGACTTGTCTTACCCGCCCCTATGTTCCAGCACGAAGGCTCTTCGCATGGACGCGCGTCAAAAGCTATATGCAGTAATAACATCACTCCTTTCGCTTCGAAATCAATCCATCACGTTGTTACAACTGACTAGTGGGACCGAATGGCAAAGTACAGCAGCAAGAACACCACGACTACAAACAGGATCAGGTACAGCATGTGTTTGCTCCCACCTTGCTCCATCATGGCACCAAGCCGCTTCATCGTGCCACCCAGCAGTCCTTCCGTGTTGTCGAACTCCTTTCCCTGAGAGCCCAAGTAGTGTCAGCAGCTACTACAACCAGTATCTCTTCTGCTAGCACGAGAGTAGACAGCGCTCACCATGCCGTCAAGAAAGCGGTTTTGGTCCACGACTTCTGTATGGATGCTACCCGAAAGCTGCAAAGAACAGGCATTCAGCATCAAAAGCTCCATCAGAAACCACAGCACATCCGACAACACGAACGCCGCACAATGGCCGACCTGCTTCCACATCGCAACGAGCTAAACCAAACACCACCGACCTGCTTCAGCTGCGTGATCTGCAACGACAAGTGGCTGATCTGCTCGTCGTTCTGCTCTTCCAGCAGACGTTTTGCCTGTTCACCATTGTCGACAGTCGAACCGCTCTGCAACATACACACAGACAATCAAATGGGTACAGTCAAATACGAGAACGACCAATCATTTGCACTCCGTCGGCCGCCAACAAGGCGACCGCAGACCTTCGCTTGTACCACACAGTACCTGGGGCCTGGAAGACGGTCGAGAGAAGAGCGACTCTCGCGCAGCGGATCGACTGTTCGCCATTCTTTTGTGCATGAACTCAATTTGGGTTCCGCCCGACCTCTTCGCTTCATCCAGGGACGTAGTCGCAACGGATTGGCTAAAATCGTATCTCGAAAGAAGCCAATCAAAGTGAGGCATTCTCGACGATATATGTCGTGCACATACACGTATGCACACGGTTAACATGACAATCTTAAACGTTTTGCCTTCACTGCGATCTTGTTGCCTACGTTGCCCGATACAAAGCTTCGTGCATTCATTCGTTTGTTCAATTCAGCATTGACTTGATCCCTTATACGCTCATTCATAATCATGAAAGCGACTGCTTCACGCGTTTAGAGCACGTGTCAAGGCATTCTGTCGTCGGTTTTGCTTGAGGACCACCATCTTGTGCTCAAATTTGTTGTGCAAATGAACTCGTCATTCTCACAAACACTGCCAGAGCTCCTATACTTGCCGAACAGCGCATTCGCGTGAAATCTGTTGTCGCAAATGACCAACTTCACTTATTGTGGGTAATGCTTCCAGTAGTCTGTAACCGGGTGAGCCCGTTGTATAAAAATTGGTACGAAAGTACCAATTTTTGAGCATTATTATTTTTTAATTATATTCAATCAACATCACCCGAGAAAAACGATGTTGTCGGAATATCACCTCAAAGGGTGATATCCGTGGATGGGCCCACTTCTTGATTGATGTACCGTGTACATCAACCTAATTAACCACCAATCGCTGCTGGACACGCGCAATGGGTGGTGGACAGAAGACCTGTAACGGGGTAGCCCGTTACATGAAATTGTCATTGAAACAATTTGACAATAAAGAATATTACGTCGAATATTCTTTTAACAATACCACAGAGCATGATGAGTTTGTTGGGTAGACCGAAGGGTCTACTCATTGGTTGATATCGTGATGATATCGATCCACCAATCGCTACTAGACGCGCACAATGGGTGGTGAGTAGACGTCATCATACATTAAGTTACATTAGTATAATTAAGTCAGGACAACAAAGATTCAAGAAGTTATAGGACTTAATTATATTAATACAGTTTTACTTTTACCAAGAGACTAGGTCTGACTACTTTGTCGTCCTTTCCTTCCTCTGTGTTCCTTCAACACCTAGCAGGGCACTGTCGACCACTGTCGTCAGTGGAAGTATACTCCGTACTGGTTGACCAGTACGTAGTCAACAGTGCCCCGTTACACCTGGTAGCACTTTGTAGTCCGTCCAAGGACCACACTCGCATCGCCCGACATGAACATGTTGGAAGATGTAGACGGCGACAGCTTTCACGGAACCCGTGAAAGCTACTCCCATTTGAGCGACATCGAATGGAGTGCGATCGAACGAATGAGTTTGACCGTTGGCGAGGAAGCCATCTGGGCCATGCTATCCTCAAGGGATAGAGACCAGCAGAATACCGTCATTAGCAAGTTCTTGCAACGAGAACTTGACGAGTCGCGAGCGCAGGTGATCTTGTTGCAACAACAAGATCACCAGCGGAACGAAGAGCTGATACATTCTCAGTCCGCGCATTCGACACAAGAGCGTCGACCGGGGTCTCTAAAGCTAGAGATCTCCAAGTATCACGAAGTCGAGGACGACTCATTCTTAAAATGGTTCGTCGAAGTTGACGATGCCATCGAGGCCCGTCGCATCGACGATGAGCGAATGCAAGTTGCATTTGCTCAGTCATACATGGCAGAGAGCCAGAGATTGGGCCCTGAAGCTCAAGTTGCACGACCCAAACGTGTTTGGGTTGTTGAGGATCTTCAAGAACCTGCGCAGTAAGACGTTCGAGCCGCCCAGAGCAAAGTTCAGGACTCTTTCGGGGCTTTTGCAACTCAAGCAGTGTAAGCGTAAGGTTTACAATTACGGTCAGCATGTACGCTACCTTGCAACCTGCATGGTAGTGAACCCTGTGAGTGAGTTTGTGTTGATCGCAATATTCATTCAAGGGCTGTCCGATGGTCCCGTCAGGGACCACCTGTTCCGCGGAGAGCTAAAGACGCTCTCAGAGGCAATCTTCGCAACGTAGCAAGAATATTATAGCGTGAGATAGTCTCACGCTACGTTGACCCCGCATCGTCCACAGAGACGATTAGCTGTTGGAGATCCAGAACCAATGGACCTCTGTCAAGTCGAGGGCGAGAAACCTCGCCCTATGAACGACAAGCGAATGGTGAGATGCCATCGCTGTCATAAACTGGGACACTACGCATATGAATGAAGTATCCCCCGCTCAGTACCTCGCGGTGCTGAGCGCAGTATTCACCCACCAGCCTGAAGAACTGGAGGGCGAGGGTCCGTTGCTGTTGCGAAGTCGCAACAGCGAGATGGACCATAAAAAAAACGATCAGGATCAGTATAGCGCTCCGCCCCTACTGATCCAGCAACATCAAGATAATTTGCAAATCTCCCGAAGAAGGTTGCTCCCGACACACAATTTCTGTGTGTCTCTGCACCTGGTGATGAGGTGTCTCTCATCACCTTGAAGTTAAAAGTGACGACGAAATTTCACTTTGCGCCCTAGTTGACTGTGAGGCGTCGAACAATATTGTTCGTCGCCAGACGCTAGAGGCAGGAAGTTTTAACTTCGTAAATCGGGAGATCCCTCCAACGAAAATGACGGTGCGCCTATCGACAGGCGCATCGATCACTGTGAAGAAACGTGTAGTCGGAATACACTACACGTTAAAAGGCGAACAGAACGATGATGATTTCATCGTGCTTGACCTAGATGACAAGTCCGACGTCATCTTAAGGTTGCCTTGGCTCAGGAAATACGAGCCAAGGGTGATTTGGCAGTATCGATCGGTTACGATACCTGCCACTTGTTCCTCAGATAAGCACCTGACGAACATCTTGGAACGCATACACTCACGTGGGTGTACTACGAGTGAGTGCGATGGCCTCACTTATGGTACGGTCTATAGCGCGACTGTACAAGAACATAATGTAGATGATCACTACATTGTGGAGAAAGCTCACCCAGATCCTGTGGAAGTGATTTCCCAGGAAGAAACCGAGACGTTGAACGTCTTGGTTAATGACGGATCAAGCGTAGGCGCTTATACGCTTGATCTGATTGTGCCTCCAAAGTAAACTTTGGATATAACTCAATTGCCAACGCTAGAAACGAAACGGTTCTTGCGTGATCTGCGTAGTGGCAAAGTCAAGCAGATCTGTGTACTCGTCGCGGAGGATGATGATGTGGCCGATATTCGGTCGGCCACAGTATTTGCTGAGAACGAACGGGTTCTCAGCAGCTCATCGATGGACGAAAGTGTCATCGATGAGAAGACTCGGATTGAGCCATACACGTCTCAATCCTGGGAGTCGCTTCAGGCTAATCCTTTGTATAAGGATTTGATCGAATATCAAGGACGTATTCCCTGAATCCGTACCTTGCGAGTTGCCTAAGGACAAAGACACTCGACACGAGATCGAGCTCAAACCGGGCTCGAACTACTGTGTCATGAAGCAGTGGCAACTGCCTCGTGAACAAGTACTAGCGATCGACAAGTTCTTTACCGATAGCTTAGCAGCGGGCCATGTGACGGAATCGACATCTCCTCACAGCTCTCCGACCTTCGGTGTGCGAAAGGCCACAGGAGGATGGCAGATAGTGCACGCATTCAACAATTTGAATGCTGCAACGGTACCGGATCAGACGACGATACCAAGAAAGGACATAATAATAGGTGGTATGTCAAAGAGTACCATCTTCATGTCCATGTATCTGATGGATGGATTCTATCAGATCCTCCTGCGTGAAAGGTGCATATTGTACACAGCAGTGAGCACCCCCAGCGGTATGCTGTGGAAGTGGCTAGTGATGCCACAGGGGCTGAGCAATGCCCCTGCAACATGCAACAGATGTGTCACAAATCTATTGAGACTGGTGCGAGACTTTGCACCGAGTTACTTCGACGATGTGTTCGTCCATAGCCCGGCTATGGAAGGAAAGACGGACGTTGAAGTTCACAGAACTCACGTACGTCAAGTTGTTCAATATATGCGCAAGCATAAGTTGTACGCAAACCTCAAGAAGTGTATATTCGCGGCTAGCGAAATACCACTTCTTGGGTGCATCGTGGGTAAACGCGGCGTACGCCCTGATCCCGAGAAGATCAAGGCGATAACCTACTGGCCATTGCCAGTCGATGTCAAGGGACTAAGGAAGTTCCTTGGGCTAGCGGCGTAATTGCGCAAGTACTCGCGCAACTACGCCGAGATGACTATTCATCTTTCTTGCTTGCTCAAGAAAAATGTAAAGTGGTCATGGAACGCTGAGTGCCAGAGTTCCTTTGAGGGTATCAAGCAAAGCTTGATGCAATCTCCGATCTTGGCGATTGCAGATCAGGACAAACCATTTCATGTGGCATGTGACGCCAGCGATTTTGCAATCGGCTGTGCGTTGATGCAATTTGACACAGATGGCGCAGAACGCGTCATCTGCTATCAATCGCGTCAGCTGCAAGCAGCTGAGCTCAATTACCCAATGCATGACTAGGAGCTACTTGCCATGAAGTACGCACTAGCTAAGCTTTGTGTCTATGCATTTGGAGATAGACCGTTCATCGTCTATACGGACCATGCGTTTCTACGCACGGCCGTAAACAGTCCACGTCTCTCGCAACGAATGGCGAGGTGGTTGTTTTTCTTCGCGGAATGCAACTTCTTTGTTGAGCATAAACCAGGACGACTCAATGTCGTCGCTGACGCCTTATCGCGCCGACACGATTTCGAGTCGGGCGTGCCATCCAACAGTGAAGATAAGTCCACTGTTGCGACACTCACAGCCAGTATGCCGTCGTCTACTTTGCTTGACAACGTAAGAAAAGCCGACGAGGGATATAGGGATCTTCTTCGATTCATGGATCATCTAATGAATCCAACTCGTACATTGTTCAGGAATTCATCGGCTTTGTATGTTCCTCATTACGTCGGTACACATCCCGCAATTATTTGCTGTAATACATAGCCGCAGTCGCCAACACACCTCGTGTCA